GTTTAAGCATAGGCATAAACATAAGGACGCGGAATGACGTCTTTTTGTTGGGAAAATTTCCTAACAAAAAGACGCTCCACAACAATACTCTACTATGTTTGCTACTTTTGCTTAGGAGAAGTGAAAAGCAGCCTTAAGCTCCCGAGAAGCTGACGTGACCAAGATTTCTAGGAAGCTCTTAAATTAGTTTGCGTTGTGTATTATTAGATAAGTTCAATTCTCTTCTTTGGGGAATCCCCCTTTCTTATATTATTGATAAACATTCATCTTTTCAACAGCCTTTGCAGAAATATACCGGTACCTGTTCCAAGCAAAGCCTCTGTAGCTTTGCCTGGTTAAGAATATGAATAATTTTATCAATGGATGTCGATGACAGCTGATCAAGATTTCATCTCCACGCTAAGAATCCTTTTGGAAGTACTTTGATCGTGTTTTTAGACGAGTGTACCGGAGGTTACATTTTCTTTTCCAGCACTTCGGTATCGCTGATGACGAACATGTGCGACGCTCTTTGAAGCGAGCTTCCATTGTATGTATCTATCTCGACTGATAGCTTTGGCCATAATGACCTCTTTAACCTGATTTATTTGCTACTCACTAAGCCCTACCGAGCACATATTAATTTTTTTTCTACTTTAGATGGTTTAGGCCTACATTAGCAACACCGAATCGACAATCGTACATGGAAACGTATTTCAGTTTAAATGTGAGCAAGAAGTCGAGAAAAGGTTCTTCTGTTCTCGTTTTGTACGTTTTTCAATTATTTGTTTTTTAGTGGACTCTTTTACTAAGATGTTCAAGTTTTTTTTTTATTTATAATGGAAGAGAGAAGTTAGAGATTGATCCTTGCGCTGGCTATGATGCTCGACACGTTTAATTTATTCCATCGACTTTAATTCGGATCATCAGGTTCTTGTTGGTAGTAGGAAAACACGGTTGCAGCACTAGTTGCCTTGAAAACGCAGACTGCATGTAAACATGTCCAACTTGATGAAAAACAAAACATATAGAGGTGTACGTCTGTGCTGTTAATACGTTTGAGGTATAAGTAAGGAAGTGTCCGACCGTAGTTGTATCTTGCACATAACATCAATTAACACAGCTGCAGCTATTCAAGCGTGATTCTGACCCATCCTGCAAGTTTGCCGTTGATGCAATTAAAACATATCGAATTTGCCTCTGTTCTGCACCGGTGCGGCAGAGGATCTCATGGCGATAAAGATAAGATCAGCATCCACTGAATGCAGCGTGTGTCTAGTTAAGTTTAGCGTATGCTATCATTCCCTTAGCTGCTAACAATTACCACAGAAGAGAATCTAATAGTTATAGTACTAAGGAAGACCAGGCGCAATTGAGCTGTCAAGATCAAGACACCACACTGACGTTTTGAAAGTTAATTCATTCTGTCAATCAGTAACAGCATTATTGAATATTGATGACAGCTCATGCATTCCACAACATTTGGACGTGTATGTCTCCACTGGTCGATGTTCGTCTTATTTCCTTGTGTAAATGCAGAACCACTGAACTGTAAATGACAGTGTCAATCTCAAACGATGACTTTGACATGACAGGTGGACACCCAGTCCATGTGGACAGTTATATCATGGTGGCGTATTCAACATTCATCAGTGTTTAAACAAAGAACCTAAGGTTTGTTAAGGTTTGTTGCTGACCTTGTGCTTAAGAATGCCTAAAATACCTCAGAATACACCTACGTTTTGTCATCTTGGACTTCCCCTGAGTCTTTTAATGGTAAAACGCTCCGTTCGCCTGATTTGGAAGCTTGTAGAATGTGTTGCGGTAA